AAAGGCTACTTGCCCTTACTACGGATCTACACCATCAGCCCCAAAAATTCTTTGATGGCCTGTTTCCAGGAGTCTGGGGGATGTGCAGATAAAACTTTTTCTGCTATTTGCTTAACTACAGATGTGCCTTACTGCAAGGTCCTGAACCCCATCAGGGAAAGATGGTTTTGTTCTTTGCATGCTAGGCTAGGACTCTACTGCAAAGCCACACCACAGCCTTCATGATTTTGGTTTATTCAGAAGTGTCAGCCACTGCCCATGCTTTAATGGGCTGAGATATTCAAAGTATGTGGTAAAAGCCATCCTCACTCTATAGGGAGTTACTGTGTAGGCCACTGAGCTAAGAACGTCCTCTGAGTATCCAGATTAGAATTTGTCTATTGAGTTTTTAATTTTACAGGTTTTTTTAGAAGAATTGTGTGTGTGGTACCCAGGTAACCCAAGTGCCTTACCACTGAGCTACACCTCAGCTATTATAAGACTTCTAATTATTTTTCAAATTCACCTGTTTTTTCATTTTTTCTTTCTTTCTTTCTTTCTTTCTTTTTTTTTTTTTTTTCAGTACCAGGGATCAAACTCAGGACCTTGCACTTGTGAGGCCGGCCCTTATGCTGCCAAGCTATCTCCCCAGCCCTCATTTTTTCTATTAGTTTCAAATTTTCATGTTCTTTTGAGATGTAATTTATTCCTTCTACTTAACTCTTTGGACACACACATCAAATCACTTTAAATGCCTCTTTGCACTGTGGTTTGGGGATTTGCAAGGAGAACAATAGAATACATGACATAAGATTATTTATAATGATAGTCACCCAAAGAATCATATACAAGAGTGCAAGAAATCTGTCCACACAGTAAAGACCAAAGAATCTGACTGAGGGGCTGAATCTCACAATAATGTCCTGCATAAGTCCAGCTAAAGACCTGGAACTCATAACAATGCCTCCCAACTGGAGCTCCCTCGAAAAGTACCACAGCCATCCTCAGTAACAGTGAGGTCTTCAGCTCCTGCATGATGAGGAAAGCTGAGTTTCCATCAAGAAAGCCAACACCATAAGCTTCTCTAGGAGACTGCACAATGTACCATCTTGCCCTCTAGAGCCAGGAAGCAACGCTCAAGATGAAAACCAGAGCTCCCCCGAAATAAACCATTCTCTGCACCAATGAGGTTCTGAGCTCCTTGTCTGATGAGAACGACTAAGTTCATCAGCAAAGCCTGCAAGACGAGGTCCTCCAGGATAATAGCCCAAGAGAACCAGCAGCTCCCTAACAGCTTCTCCAGGTTTGTCTCCTATGCAGCTGGCAACAATCCTCAGGTGGGCCTCCCACATCCAGCCCCGTGCTAGTTTAGTTCAGCTGGGTGTCACAAATTCACCACCAGTTATCAATATGCCATACTTTGCATAATTGCATCTCTGATTTCCATTGCTCAAAAGGCTTCATAGCTGTCTCTATTTGCCCTTGGTCCTCAGTCCAGAGTTAAAATTTAAAATAGTACAGGTTCCTAACTGGTGATTATAGTGGGGGAAACCAAAAATTAGTCACCAGGCCTGCTGGCAGCTTGCTTACCTCCTAGGTCAGAAGACTGCCCTCTTCCAGTCTCCATTAAAAGCCATGTGATCAGTAAGCCTGATTGTTTTATCTTTTTGGGAGATGGGGTACATATTGGTTGGGGATAGGGAACAGATCCCACCTGTCATTCAGGTGCAAGTTCATAGTGACCTGAACTGGGTTGGTAGCAAGAGAAGGTGGTAAGAAAGCCGCTTCCAACTTCAAAACAGCTTTGCTGAACTCACTGTTCCAAAAAGTATCAATGGTAAATGTAACACATGAGCAGAGGGATAGCGACCAGCTTGTATAAAGGTGACATGGCGTGGAATTTATTGTGCCTAGGTGCAGGGAGGCAGAGAGGGCGAAAACCATCTGCCTTGAACAAAAGTGTGGCCCTCTTATAGGGATGAAAAGAAGGCAGCGTTGTTAGGATGATTTTAATATTCTTTAATAAACATATGTGGTCAAAATTCTCTGGCTGTCTTTCACCTCAAAGGCAAAGTCCTGGGAGTAGCCAGTGTAAATTTTTGGCTGTCTCCAGATGTCCCCAGATGGCCCAGGACTTGCAAAATTCTTTGTCTTATCTTACCTTCTTTACAATGTCCTGTGCTTGCTGATAACAGCAGTGGTGCTCAGCTAAGTTCCCTGCTGAGAATACTGTCTCTGTTGTCAAGCAGATAGGGAGTTGGGAGAGTCTGGATTAGAGCCTTATAGTAAATAAAAATGGAAAACCAAAAAGACAAAGAAATTCAACCCTCATCCCCAACCACTATGCCCCCATTCCCCCAAAAAGAGAACAGAAAAATGTGTTCTAGATGTTTAATATATTCTTTCTACCATGACCAGAATGTTATGGCCAGTCAGGATCACCTCAAAAGTCATAAGATATAAATTTAGGGCCGGCCAAATAGCTCAGCGGATTAAAGTGCCTACAAGCAGGCACAGGAGCTGGGGTTCGATCCCGAGGCCTGCCGTGCCAGCCCCAACCCCAGGGTGTGCTGAGATGTCAATTGAGACTAGGCATGGTGGTGCATGCCTGTAATCCCAGCTCTTGGAAGGCTGTAAACAGGCAGATCTAGTAGTGAGACCCTGCACACCTTGTAGACCCTTCCCTTAACATACAAAAATAAATAAATAAGATAAAAATTTTCTCACAGCATGACCTCTAAGGAATCCCCTGTTGTCACAATCATAAGCAGAGATGCAGGGAAATCACTGGCCCAATAGAGAAAAGGAAAGGAAAGGAGTGGTTAGGATATTGGCTGCTACTGCTCCTAGGCAAAAAGAACATTAATTCTTGTTTAGGAGCTCAGAAACATTCCCAAAAGAATGAAATGTTACTAACCTGTCCCAAAATGTAATGTCTTAATTACTTTTCTTATTACTGGGACAAAATACCTGACACACGTAAGAAAAGAAAGGTTTATTTTGGCTCACAGTTGGTACAAGTTTCAGTTCACTGTCAGCCAGTTGTAAAGCAGGGCAGAGGGACATCACAGAGGAGAAATAGTCCATGGCAGGGTACACAGGAGGCATCAAGCAACAAGCAACAAATGCTTTCTTTCTGTCTCTTTATAACTCACCTGGGCTATCTACCCTTTGGACAGTACCACCCACATCCAGAGTGGGGCACCCTTAATCTCAGCCATCACATCCTAGATCCAGAGAGCTCTGAGAAGCCCCACCTGTGAGAGTGCATGTGGCGTTAGGATGGCATCTAGATATAAGCTGTAACATGTGCCTTCACATGGAATATCTTTGGGTTTAGGACAAGGAAAGAAATCTGAAACATTTTTCTAGAAAGTCAACACATTTGAACATGTGGCTGTCATTGAGAAATCAGAAATCAATGTGATCTAGCTGTTGACCAACAGGAAAAACAGCTAGATAACAACAGGAGCCTTCAATTGTCCATCCAACCATTACTTGGTAAATATTCTGTATCTTCACTGCACAGTGGGAAAACAGGATGTCTAAAAAATACTTCCTATCTTCAAGGAGGTAGGAAGGTGACTCATCCAATTAGAATCAAAACTTCTATGTGTTGCATGTGTGGTGTCCACAAAAAGATATGAATTACAACACAGTGATTGATTTTTTTTTTTTTTTTTTTTTTTCAGAACCAGGGATTGAACTCAGGTCCTTTCGTTTGCCAGGCAAGTGCTTATTCCACTGAGCCATCTCCCCAGCCCCACAACACAGTGATTTAGAACATGAACTTATTTAGAAAAAGGGCCATGATTGATATAACTATTGAAGATGAGGTCAGACTGCTAGAGCAGACTCTTAACCTAACAGGAGAAAATGCAGAGACAGATACAGGAAAGAAGAATGCCAAGAGATTGGAGAGATGCAGCTGAAAGCCAGACTAATGTCCACCAAGAAAAGCTAGGAAGGAGCAAGGAAGAATTCCTCCTATCGGTTTCAACGGGAGCATGGGTTCTTGCCAACACCCTGATTTAGGACTTCTGGCTTCCAGAACCATGAGACAATACATTTCTGGTGTTTAAAGCCCAGTCTGTGATACTCTGGTGTAGCAGCCCTAGGAAATTAATATATTTTAGAGCTTGTGTCAAAAACAAAATGACATAGCCAACAGAAATCATGTCCAGCTGACACAGCTTGTACAGAATGTCAGTCTGTTGAGCTTTAGGAATGCAATTCTGATACAGAGGGCAGGAAAAAAAAAGGTTGTAAGTCACCTGTAACAATCCAAATGCCAACTTCAACCCAACCTAATTAGTTTCTCTGGAAAATAAGCCGAAATCTACCCATCTAAATGCCCAGAACCTAGTGTCAACTTTGTGACTAATAAGATTTTTAAGGTGTAAACCTGGCGAGAACAAAATGTTTTACACAAGCTTCATTACTTCAAGCAGTAGCATCCAATAGCTAAGTAATTATTATTCGTTTTTCCTACCACTATATCACAGCATAAAAGGGGAACTTCAGCTGAAGATTTTGGTGAGCAGTAACTAATTAAAATCCCAGTTTAACCTTGCAGGAGCCAGAACTATATTAAGAATGCTGTCGGAACTGGGTGTTGCAGTGCATGCCTGTAATCCCAGAACCTTGGAAGGCTGAAGCAGGAGGACCATAAATTCGAGTTCAAATTGGGCAATATAGCCGGATCCTTTTTCAAAATTAAAGAAAAGGGCTAGAGATACAGCTCGGTGTGAAGGAATTATTGTCTGGAATTATTTCTAATGCCTCTCACCTGGTATTATGATGTCTTCATAATGATGCTTCTAGGTTCTACTGTGATTACAGTTATTCCTTAGCAATTTCCAACTGTAAATAAATTCTTAAAATTTCAGCAGCTGTTTTGGGGGAGGAGCGCGGGCAAAGAGCCATTTACACACTCCCCTTGCCACAACTCAACCTTAAAACTGGGCTCTAAATCAAACATGAAATCTATGCGCCTTCCATCCAAAATCACGGGCACTTACCTGTTCATCTAAAAATAATGGAAGCGAGGCTAGAAGCTCCAGAAATGGTCCTGAAACTCACAGGTGGAGCCCCACGGCCACACACACTGAGGGCCCTCACGCCTCGTGGGGCAAGGCTTGGCGCAAGTGAAAAGGTGCCCCGGTTGTCTGGGTCTTACAGAATCAGGGGTGCGCGTTCAGCGCACTGAGCCAGCAGGGCTAATTTCCCTTGGGCACGCATCCACAAAAGCCATCCTGACCCTTCTCATCCATGGCACTTTCCGCCCAGCAGTTACTCCAAACCCCACCCGCCTGCCCCGCTCCCCGCCCCCAACTGCAAGCCCACCCCGGCCAGCCCCGCCCCGCTGCCCGCGGAAGCCCCGCCCCTGGCGCACTTCGACGACGGCCGTGGCGGCTGCGGCGGCGGCTGTGGGGGGGGGCGCGGGGGGAGGGGGCGGGATGTGGGATGGGGGCGGGACCCGGCCGGGAGCCGCGATGGGCGGAGCCGCCGAGGAGCCGCAGACCTTCACCTCGAGCAGCTCCACCTCGGACGCGGAAGAGTCGAGTGAGGAGCCGCCTGGAGCGCCCGCGTCGCCTCCGGGGACCAGGCGCTACCCGGAGCCGCGCGGCACGGGGCTAGGCCGTCGCCCGCAGAACATGGCGCCCTGGACGCTGTGGCGCTGCTGCCAGCGCGTGGTGGGCTGGGTGCCGGTGCTCTTCATCGCCTTCGTGGTGGCCTGGTCTTACTACGCGTACGTGGTGGAGCTGTGCGTGTGTGAGTACCGAGCCGGCGGGGTAAGGGACTAGCGTCAGGCCGCGGCGCCTCAGGCCGCGCTCCCGCGAGGGCGTCCACACGGGCCGGAGCGCGGGGCGCGTGCTGCGTGCTGCCTTCGGGCCGCGAGCGGGAATGGCGGGGCCGTGC